TAATCTATGACTGATAGTATAATTCGAGAAATACTGCAAACGTCTGACTTTCTCGTAAGACTCTGAACAAATACTAACATTTAAAAATTTTATTTTTTCAAAAATTTGTCCGGTAAAGTATAATTTAAACCTCACTATTAGATAAATAAGGGCCTTAACTATTAGAAAAAAATTGAATTTACTCATAATCTAATATTTTTTATTTTACATTGGCGGCGAAAGGACCTCCTTAATTGAAATAATTTTTTGTAATATCTTCTTCAAAAGTATCATCAAGTTTTTGTATTCCACTGAAAATTAAAAAAAAAAATTTAATTCTAGATTTCGAAACTTTTTACATGATTCTGACATTAAAAAACATCTTACAACTTTTCAGATTTTTATAACAATTAAATTATTATAAAAAAATCTAGTAAAAGAATTCCACACGTAGAAATTAAAAAAACTTATATGTATAAATTTTCAAAAGTATTTGTTTTATCATAATTGATTTGTTATAAAAATTTAAAGAATTGTCAAATGTCGGCTGATCTCAGTGTCATCTTTTTGATGAAAATTAAATTAGCCCACATCTGAAAATTTTTATAATTTTTTTATTAAAAAAATTATTACAAAAAAATCAAAAGAAAAAAGTATGATAGTAAGGTAAAAGACCCAGTTATTGATACTGGCCTAGTTGGTTGACACTTGCAATTTAATTTCAATTAAAAAAATAAAATGTTCTGAAAACAACCAATTATCTGAAAATGTATAACTCACAAATTATATTTATTAATTTATAGGAGTCGGTTTTTGTTTTTTAATTAAAATAAAATTGAAAGTGTCAATAACTAGGCCAGTATCAATAACTGGGTCTTTTACCTTAATTAAGTTATTGTTTTAAAATGTATAGTGATCGACGATAATAAATGTATATATCACTATTGTTACATCATCAATAAATGCCTTTTTAAATTAAATTCTCGTACGATATATCTATTTTTAACTTAATTTAATCGTCATCTATTGTAATACCAAAGAAGGTTTTTCTGTAATCGCGTGTTAAACAATTTACTAGATTTTTCGAACTATTCGCTGATGTTTCGTTTTCTTGATGTTTCGCTTCGTTTCTAATGATATTTTGAAATCTCCTCACCGGGGAATAGTTAATTGTGTAATGCAGGTAGCTCGTTATGTATGAGCTCAAATGACTAGTACAACCTTTAGACACTTTTTTGCTAATGATAATTTCAATTATAATTTCTAAGTATTTTAAAAGGTTCCAATACTTGTTTTCTTCATCAACAAAATCACTTAGAATTGTACAAATATTGCGGGTAGAAGCTATTATAATTTCTAACGGTAACTGTTACCGTCTGTATCGTAAATATAACTATTTAGAATAATAATAATAATTAGCTATATAGTTAACATACAGAATTGTAACAATTATTATAAATATGGTGAACTTTACAATCTAGATAATTAACATAATCATCTAGATAGTATTCACTACTATCGGGTTGATGATAGAAAATTTCACCATAACTAGATAGTATTTGCTATTATTTAATTTTCTCCGTGCATGATATCAATATACTATGTAATATATCAAAATTTTAATTTTCCGATTTTTCATAGTCAAAAATTATAACTTTAAAAAAATAATAAGTAGTCATTCAAAAAAGTAAATAGAACAACAAAAAGAAGCAGTGTTATTTATCTATCAACAACCTCCTATAAATGTCAAGAATGAATGGACGCTATTTGTCAAGTTAAATAAATGCTAAACATTGTTATATGTACATTACATAGATAGATGCTACACATGTATAAACTACACTTAATTCGAATTGGTTGTAGGGACGAGGGCAAATAATTGGACGTTCACCGGCAGATGTGGTCGACGATCATGTCACTGATTAAGCGGGTTGATTAACCGTCTAATTAACTTACAGGTATATCTATACCCATCAACACAGCTATTAAAACAAAGCTCTCGCTTACGCTCTACTCTGTTTATGTAAAATCAATACTGTATTGACAATGACTATTTTATAACTTTCGCAAAATTATCACCGACGAAAAAAAGTTTTATTTACTTTTAAAAAATGCCATTTTCTTCACGCTTTAGATTTCTTTAAGTATAGGTTAAAATGTGTCATAATTTATTATTACCTAATAAATCTTTTTGCATCGTCACATTTAGTATTGTCAATTTAAACTTTTGTTCGTTAAAATGCATTTATACCTTAAAACAGTAATACCTTAGCAGGCTTTGTGACCTCCTGACTAAGATATCCTATTTCGCGCCAGAGATGTTCTGGACGCCACCAGGAGAGTTATTTGGTGTTAAGTTCACTCGGCCTTCTGGAACCGAGTTACTAAGGCTAGCTCACACTCAGGGAGTGGGTATCCAAAACTGATATTCGGTCACAGAATAAACTTAATCAATTAATTATTGCTAAGTGAGAGGAAGAGGCTAGGTTGTTGAAATTATTGGCACGGCACAAACACAATTTAATCAAATAAATTAATTAACAAATTTATTTCCAAAGACTCTACGATTAATGACTTGACAATTAACTCCCCAGAATAGAATAATTACTTAGTGGCCTGGTCTTCGCCCTAGCCTGATTAACACAACTGAATCACTTCGAGGATGCTAACCAGTTAGCTCGCAGATCACAACTAATTAAACTAAACTATCCCTAACTGAGCCGACCTCGTCTTCGCAAATACAACTCGCTCCGAATGATTAGTAGCTTGCCCCCTGGCTTCTTTGGAGATCCTTCGGGTTGTATGCTCGAAGACCGACTGACTGTTCCAGATTTTTAGATTTAGAAATTATCTTTATTTATCATTTGTTAATACATAGATTTTACATTTGAATTTTGTTCCCGCTCTTTGTAAGAGCTTACCAAATATATTTATATTTATTTTATTATTGTTTATGTTTGATTATTGTTGTAGTGATATAATATAGTTTGGGTAAAAAATTTAAAAAACGCCCATATGAATTTTATTTGAGTCTTAATAACTAACTTAAGTCTAACTTACAAACTAGGAACAGTATTTACAAGTTATTTACATTATTTACATTTATAATAATAGGTTGTGAGGCAGTTTATATCTTATTCTAAAAGGAGCATTGTCCTGATTCATTGTACCTATATTGCTTAATATACTATGTTTTTTAATCCCTACGTTATAGAAGGTACTTGTTTGATTAAATATATCCTCTGTTATATCACAAATGTTTAGTTTTTGTTTTATTGCAACGTTTGATTCATTCGGTTTAGCTTGGCTAATTGTTCTTAATATTTTGTTTTGAACCGTTTGGATTTTTTTAATATTAGTTTTGGATGCGTTACTCCAGATAGGGGTCGCATACAAAAGTATAGGTTTAATTATTATTATTATTATTATTATTATTATTTCTTTATTAATAAATCCTGACAGCCCATATGGCCAATTATGAGGATACAAAAAGATACATTAGTGTATGTTGTAAGGTATTTTACACATGTTGCAATGAGCAATTATAATAGAAAAATATCATTTAAAATACAGGTGTTTAAATTTGATTATGTAATAGAATATTCGAAAATTGCATGATCGAGCGAGCTCGCCGAAGGCGAGCTCGCTCGATCATAATTATGACGATTATATTGTTCGAAAGATCATACTTGTAGTAACGTCCCAGTACGCTTATTTTTCACCAACTTCAGATCATTTACTTAAATTAAAACATTGAAGCTCACTCTCGTCACCTCGATACTCATCTGTTCATAAAGTTCAGCGTCAAAGAATTAATTAAAAGATCACAGGTGGGTCGTTTCTTAAAATTATTAATTGTTAGTTAGTGGGGGCGTTTCAGACCAGCCTGCCAATTTCTTAATCACACCTACATCAACACCCTTAACTAAGGCTGTTGAAGTGGCCGCATGCCTGACACTATGAGGTACATATTCAGGACCAATGCCACATTCCCTCAAAAAGGTTTTAATCCAACGGCTTATCGTGTCCTTGGATGCATCGCGATAAGGTCTTTTTGTCGTAATAAACAAAGAATTTGTTGTTACTAACATATTTGTAACATTTAAATACTTTTCCAAAACTAACACAGCACACAATTTTGGATTTTCAACAAATTTAGGCAAAATTAATAACGGCTGACAAGATCCTGGTCTAGAAGTCTTAATTGCATCAGAAATTTCAATTTCATAACCATTACTGGTCTTTTTTATATTATTACGTTTAATCAAACTAAAAGTTTGTTTTCGATGAGCTGTAATCAGAGCTAAAATCATTATTAATTTAATTGTTAATTTTTGCAAACTTAATTCATCTAAGGGATACATGCTTTCTAATTTCTTAAGAATTGGATCTAGACTATAAATACGGTCGTATTTGGGTTTAGAAGGCCTAGTTTTAAAAGCACCTTTAAGTAACCGGCAAATCAGAGGACTTTTACCGATAAAATCCCCGCATAAAAATGATAACGCTGATCGATATACATTTAAAGAACTATATGATAAAACCTCGTTAAATTTCTCAACCAACCATTCCATGACCTCTTGCTCATTCGGACTAAAAATATTATAATTATTTTTCTTACAAAAAGAAACCCATTCTCTAATTGGTTTTTCATATTGTTTCTTAGTTGATGGAGTGATTGAAGACATTAATAATTTAATCGAATCTTCTTTTATGCCACGACTTTTAAAAGACTCCCAGATAATTTCCCTGCCAACAGCGTTAATTTCTCGGCCAGTAGATGACTTATCCCTCTGTAAGGATCGAGCAATAATTTATCAGAAGGATGAAAAACAATCGGAGGTTCCTCCAACAAGGATAACCAAAGAGGATGCCAGGGTTGAGTACTCCACTCTGGAACCACAACAATACCACAAGCTTGGTCAGTTTGAATTTTCTTAAGAGTTTTTAAGATTAAAGAAAATGGAGGGAATGCATAAAAATAAAAAGTATCCCACTTAATAGTGAATGCATCGATGCAGAATGCCTGAGGATCTCTGTGCCAAGAACAATAATGATTGCATTTTTTATTTTCAACCGACGCAAACAAATCAACCTGAGGCTGCCCAAAAACCGAAGAAATTTGTTTAAAAGCCCAAGGAGCTATTTCCCACTCCGTGTCAATATTATTACACCTCGAGGCTGCATCAGCAATAACATTCTCCTGGGAAGGAATATATGTAGCAAATAACCAAAGATTGCGCTCTTCACACCATGACCATATTTCACGCGTAATATTATTTAAATTTTTGTACTTAATACCACCCATTTTATTAATATACGCAATGGCAGTAGAATTATCGATCTTTAAAAGAATTTCACAGTTCGATAAAGTATTCGCAAAAGACTTTAATCCATTAAAAGCAGCGATTAATTCTAAACAATTATTATGCAAGGACTTTTCTCTTAAAGTCCATTGTCCAAATATAACATTGTCATTACACGAAGCACCCCAACCGGTCAAAGAAGCATCGGAAAAAATTGTCAATTGATAATTAGACTCACGAATTGGATTTTTTATTGTGCAAATATTATTTTCCCACCAAAGAAATTCTTCCTTTAAACATTGATTTAAAGGCATAATCGCGTCGTAATTTTCATGAGACCTGAGCAAAGATAAATATTTCTCTTGTTCAAATATTTTCGAATGGAACCAACCATAATTCACGGCAGGACAAGCTGCTGTAATATTGCCCACAAAACAAGCAAAATCCCGTATTACACAAGAGTCCAATATTTTAAATTTTTTAATCAGTTCTAAAATATGCTCTTTCTTTTTTTGCGTTAATTCTAAGGTCATTGCCCGAGAATCTAACCTAAACCCTAAGAATTGACAAATAGTAGATGGAATTAATTCACTTTTTTCCTTATTAATAACAAACCCCAATGATTCTAACATTTTTTTTGTAACCGTAACATTTTCGTTACATCCTTCAAACGTCTCATGCGTTAACCACCAATCATCTAAATATACAACCGATATCCATTCCAAACTTCTTAGATGATTAACAATAGGTTTTGTGATTTTAGTAAAGTCCAAGGCCCAGTACAAATCCCAAACGGTACACAAATATATTCATATAATTTTCCTCTCCACCGAAATCTTAAATATTTACAAAATTTTTCATGGACAGGGATTGTAAGATAAGCGTCCTGCTAATCTATACTCGCCATAAAATATCCCTTGCCCATTAATTTCAAAACCGTTCGAATATCTTCTAATTTGAAATGTTTTGTATCGATAAAATTATTTAATTTCTTAAGATTTAAAATTAATCGCATTTTTCCACTACTTTTACGAATTAAAAAAATACTAGAAACGTATTGACCGTCAGTATAACAGCATTCTCTAATTGCTCCAATGTCTAATAAATGATTCACAGCCTCTGACATCGCTAAAACATCAGAATCAGATCCCGAAAACTCCGGTGGTTCGGAGTTTTGAACCGGAGTTGATAAAAAAGGAATTTTATATCCCGAAATAGTTGACAAAATAAAACTATCTGACGTGATAGACGACCAAGCTTGTGAAAACATTTTCAAACGCCCAGCAACTCTCACCTCTACTTGCTCGGTACGTTGTTCTGCTGATTCTGACGAGTTTGGGACCTGGTTGACGAACGAACTGGTGTCTGTGGAACTGATGTTCGATTGGACCGGGAAAACTTGTTGGGGGCCTTCGGGTTGTAGCTCGACTGCTGCTGGCCTCTCGGAGTCACAGTTGAGCTCTTCCAGTTTAAATACTGGCTAGACTTCGCAGCGTTGACTTTATCAGGCGTAGACTTCAAGGATAACCCAACTTTTTCGACCATCGCAGCTGCCTTAATACGTTTCCCAAGATCTTCTCCAAAAAGAAATTTATCAGTCTTTGAATCAACCAAAACAGACTTCCGTTTTTCATCAACGTAGGAATAAACTTGATATTTCCTGGTTTTTGTGAGTTGAAACATCAACTCACAAAAAATTTGACTGGAGTCACATAACCATTCCAGCAATAAATCTTTTTCAATAGGCTCATTATTGTCATTGAAAATTGCGCAGAGAGATTTTCCAAGCGCAACTAACCCACGCCCGCAGAGATCCTGGTTTGACGCCAAATGTTTGTCTTCCCTGATTTAAAAAAAGTATTGAACCTATGCAACTGTATATCTATATTGTATGTATATACAGATATACAGTGTGTGTAATTCAATACTTTTTCAATACTTTTCAATACTTTTTTTTAATCAGGGTTTACTCCGGGCCGTCTTGTGCAGGAGAGGAATTAGCTCCGGATTTAATTCTGGTGCCTTCAACGAACAATTCCCCTTATCTGGGTAATTTTCCTCAAAAGCCTTCTTGACCTTTGTGTCCAGGCCAGATTCCAAAATTTCATTCCAACAAGCAACTAACTCGGGATGAAAATTAAAAGATTGATCTTTTAATTGACGCTTGGAAACACCAAGCAGCTCCGAAGCTTTTTCGCTAAGCTTTGTTGGTTGACCTGAGTCACCGGACGTCTCTTGAGGCTCTTTTGATGTCGATTGTGAGCAATTGTTACCATCAGAGATCTCAGTCTCCAGATCATCATTCTCCGAGTCTGCAAAAGCAGAAGATCTAGGTTATAGAAACTATCATAAAGATTAGCTTCTGATGCAAAAGAAAAAATAAACAGAATTTCTTCATAATTTGCATCATAACCTAGTCATTTATTGCAATTATATTGCATATTTATTAAAAACTTTAATTTAAAGTTTAATTGATTCTAATCAAACGACTGAATCAAGAGGTACAATTTAAATAATTGCCCAAGTATATAAAAAATATTTAATTTGACTACTCATTAATTTATTAATAATTCCCTTCTTCAGAATTTACATCATTCTCCGAATCTTTATCACTAGATAACATCTTAGCTTCATCTAACAGTTTCTGATATTTCTTGAGTTTTTCCGCATAAATTTGCATTTTCTCAATAGAGTCTTCGTTTTCTCGTTTACTCATAATGAACAAATAAATTTGAAAATTGAAAAATTAAATAATTTATTTAATAAAAACTTCGTTGTTTATAAGTGACGTGTGGTTTCTAAGCGCACCAAAAACGTAATGAACAGATGAGTATCGAGGTGACGAGAGTGAGTTTCAATTTTTTAATTTAAGTAAATGATCTGAAGTTGGTGAAAAATAAGCGTACTGGGACGTTACTACAAGTATGATCTTTCGAACAATATATGAGTTATAATTTATATTTATTATTACATTAAGATAGTATAGATAAGCTCGATACAATAAATATAATTTTTATTAAGGCGGTAGAGTATGATCATATGCTTTCGTTAATTAAGTTGTCTAGAGTTGATTATGATGGATGCTAGGGCATTGGCGCTGCAGCGCGTTTGATAGCCAAGCAGGTCAATATCACTATTCTGTTGAACTATATAATTACAGGCGTTAATCAGTCTATTAATAGGTGAAGTAAGGATAAAGTTGCTCCTCTGCCGAGGCGGATAGAAAGGCTGATCAGATCTTAAGTTTCTTTGCGGTACTAGTATAGGAATCAGTTCCAGAAGTCTGGGACAATCAATTTCATTGGATAGTAGTCCGGATACTAATAATATTGATGCACAAATTCTACGCTCTTCTAGAGTTAGTAAGTTCGCATCCACACACATAGTAAGATAATCATATCCACGGTCAGGGTATATACCAAACTTTTTAAAAGAAAGTTTGGTATATACCCTTGGCAAATGCCAGGTCAAGTTGAGTATATAGGTAGTTGCACATGTCATCAGGGGACTCATGATCATACAGCGATTCCCAACTTATAAGTCCAAGCTCTGCGATAAGTCGTGATTTATCAAGTTTGTGAAAATTATAGTTACCCAGCGGCTTTTTTATAGTTGGTTTTGCTCTTATTAAATTTATTTCAGCTGTGATCCTCAGTGCAGGATGATAGGTATCAATTTTGACCAATGGAGAATTATCTCCATTAACCAAACAGTTAATTGACGAAAAAACTAGATCAAGTATCTTACCATGTGTGTTGAGAACTCCATTATATTGGGTAATATTATGAAGTAAAGAGAAGATAGTTAATAGATCTGCCTTAGTATTCAAGCCCCCAGGAGTGGAGTTAACAAAATGCGGTGAGTTGAAATCGCCCAGCAATACCAATGCGCCAGCATCCATGGCCGAGTGAGACGAGAGTTGATCAAGGAGATCAGAGTAGATGTGTGGATGCAGGTCTGGAGGTATATAGATGTTAATTATATGAGTTTTTATACCCAGATTAATAAAGAATACACCCACAATTTCAATCTGAGGGAAGAGTAATAGTATATCATCAAATTTAATGGGTATTGCAGAAAGTATACTCCTACATACAATCAGCACACCTCCACCCGACCTCCTGAACTCCTCACGTCTGTCACACCTAAAAACAGAATAGTCATTACTAAAAATTTCATTATTAAATACACCTGTTTTGAGCCAGGTTTAATTAGTAATTTATATAGTAGTAGTTTATTTTTTATTGACATTTTACTTTTAGAACATAGTAGTGGGTAGAGAAGATTTTTTATTTGATAAGCTTTCTTACAGGCTGTGGAGATGTGTTTATTGAAGTTCAATTTTTTGTCTAGAAACATTCCTAAGTATTTGACTTCATTTTGAGGATTTATAATTTCATTATTGATCTTAATTGTTAAATCTTTTCCTCGTTCGCTTTTTTTTCAGTTTGTTTCTTCTACTAAAGATAATGAGCTCTGTTTTTGAGGCATTGACCTTGATCTTCCATTGTTCGAAAAATTCTAAAAAGTTATCTAATGTATTTTGGATTTTTTCTATTGCTAATCTTTTATTACGTGAAGCACCCAAGATACCTGTGTCATCTGCAAATAAGGCTGTTAATGTTTCGTCAAGTATAGGTAAGTCATTAATAAAGTAGAGGAACAGAGTCGGGCCCAAGATCGACCCTTGGGGAACTCCCGCGACTATGTATTGTGTTGTCGAGTATGATTTGTTAATTTTAACTTTGAATGATCGTTTATTAAGATAGCATAGAATGAGTTTGACTAAATACAGTGGGATATTTAGTAGGAAAAGTTTAGCAATTAGGCCTTTATGCCATACCGTATCAAATACTTTTTCAATGTCCAACAGCAACATTGCCGTTGATACATTTATATTGAAGTTAACAGAAATATGGTTTGTGATACGGGCAAGCTGTTGGACTGTGCTTCGGTGTTCTCGAAAACCGAATTGTTCGTCAATTAATTTATTATTTGATTTTTCAAATTTTTTGATTCTATTTAGTATTATAATTTCAAAGATTTTACTGAGTGTTGGTAAAAGGCTTATCGGTCTATAATTTTGCGGGAACATTTTGTCCTTTCCTGGCTTTGGGAAGGCCATCAGTACGATAGCTAGCTTCCAATCTCGAGGGAAGTATGAAAGCCTGAAGCATTGATTAAATATATAAGTTAATTGTACTATAGCTTTGCGTGGCAGGTTTTTTAGTAAAATATTCTGTATATCATCATGGCCTGGAGCCTTTGTTGATTTAGTCTTTTTGATCGCGTTAATTATTTCAGTCGGGGAAATTAGATCAATACTATCCGGATTGATTGTTTCATTCTTGGCTTTTATGTACAGTTTGTTAATTTCAGAGTCTGTGTAAGGGTCCCCTTTATTTTCTGTTAGATGGTGTGTTTTTTCAAAATTTTCTGCCAGTGCATTAGCTTTATCTATATCAGTGAATACTAATCCATTAGGACTGTGTAAGGTCGGTGTTATATTTTCAAATTTTTTTGTAAATGATTTTGCCATTTTCCAAATCGAGTTGTCTTTAATATTTAGTTTTTCTAGTTTTTTGTCCCATTGGTCATTAACATGTTTTCGTTCTGTTTTCCTTTTGAATAATGTTATCAAGTCTGTTTTTTTCGTGTTTGTGCCAGTCAAGTCGATGTTTCTGATATTCTCGTCTGTGACTATTTCTGGATTTAATCAAAAGTTGTATATATTGTGGAAGTTCGTGTGTAAAATTTTTGTGACTCTGCAATGGTATTGCTTCGTCTTTAGCTTTATTGATAATTGTTGTTAGATTTTTTATTTAATCGCAGACGTCTTGTTGGGTTTTAAGGCTTTTATTAATAATAAGATTGTCATTTATGGTTTGTCGAAATAAAGGCCAATCAGCTTTTTTGTAGTTTGAGAACATTTGTTGCACATGTCTGGGATCATTTAGATCTCCTAGTGTCAGAAGGATTGGCATGTGGTCGGATTCTAGTTCGTTGAGTGTTTCAACAGGTGCGTTTGTGTGTAAGCTTTTGGTCAGGGCAAAATCGACAACGCTAGGTATTCCCGAGTTGGAAGGATAGAGAGTATATCGGTCGGGTGTTAGTACTGCTACTGGGTTGTTGATCGTGTATTTATAAATTGTTCTGCCATTAGTGTTATTGCTTTTGCAGTGCCAAGTAGTATGTTTTGCGTTAAAGTCTCCTATTAGGATGACTTTTTTACCTGTATTTATTAGTAAGTCTATGTCTTTTGAGTCAAGGTTATTTTTGGGTACATCCTGACCAGAAATTTAAGTTCGGCGGTGGTTCATTCCGAATTCGGCATGCCAAGTTCCAAGCTCGCGCCGAATCAGGAAGCCAAAGTTGGCCCACGTCCCGGAAGTAACGCAGTCGCGAGTTTGGGCCTAACTTGGCTTCCGACTTAGGCGGTGGTTTGGAAACCACACTTGCTGGTAACTAACTAAGCCTCATTCGGTCCGAATTTGGCTACCTAACTAGGCAGCAATTCAGAAACCAAATTCTTACGGAATAATCCAAATTGAGTCCTTTCTTCGTTTTTAGCTACTTTTATGATAAAGCAAAAATTTATAATAATGAATGCTTATTTTTTTAATTTACTTTTAAAATTTTAAATATGAATATTTAGGACGAATTTTTTAAAATACTGAATAAATAAAAAAAATTTTTTTTTTTTTCATTTAGGTATTACTTTTTTTTATATTTTTGGTAATTTTTTTCGCTTTTCAGGACTTTTCTTACTATGAAGTTTTTTTTTTGATTGGTCGGTTTTATAGGTCAAGGGGGATGATGGAGTTAGATACATTAGTCACACACAACACTTAAATTTACCTCACACCCGCCTTAAGAGTAATTATAACTAATAATTATTAAAAATTTTACATCGAATGCGAGACTCGAACACTGTACCCGACGCACGAGAGCCCTATACCGTACCGCGACGCTACGCCGGCGATGAGCGACCTCTTGCCTCAAGATACTTATAAACCTGACACTTCGGCAAACATTCGGTTACCGTTGCAACGTTCAAGTTAGGAATTCCGATATTATACCTAAGTGAGAATTTGCCACAAACTTTACCTAGTCAAGTTCGATTTTGATAGACCAAGCTTCAGAATGCCTTTAGTTACTGTTCGGTAAGCTTTTGGTTACCATTATTTCGTACCAGTTTGGCAATTCATGGCATACCGAACTTAGGCACTGCCACAATTTTGCCTAAATGAGTCCGAGCTTGGAGAACCAAACTTCGGTAATCCTTTGGTTACCGTTATTTCATACCAGTTTGGCAATCCATGACATATCGAACTTATGCATTGCCACAGGTTTGCCTAAATGGGCCCAAGCTTGGTGAATCGAACTTTGGTAAGCCTCTTTGGTTGCCGTTATTTCATAACAGTTTGGTAATCCATGACATACCGAACTTAGGCATTTCCACAGTTTTGCCTAAAGAAGCTCGATCGTGGTATGCCAAGTTTCAGTAAACCTTTGGTTACCGTTATTTCATAACAGTTTGGCAATCCATGACATACCGAACTTAGGCATTTTCACAGTTTTGCCTAAAGAAGCTCGATCATGGTATGCCAAGTTTCGGTAAGCCTTTGGTTACTGTTATTTCATAATAGTTAGGCAATCCATGATACATCGAACTTAGGCATTTCCACAGGTTTACCTAAGTAAGCCCGAGCTTGGTGAACCAAACTTCGGTAAGCCTTTGGTTATCGTTATTTCGTACTAATTAGGCAATCTATGACATGTCGAACTTAGGTATTGCCACAGGTTTGCCTAAGTGAGCCCGAGCTTGATGAACCAAACTTCGGTAAACCTTTGGTTACCGTTATTTCATACTAATTAGGCAATCCATGATATGCCGAACTTAGGCAGTGCCAAACTATTACGAGATTACATCGAATGTGGAATTCTTTTGGCATACCAATGTTCGGCTTGCCTAATTTAAAACAAATAAGATCCGAATTGGGCTAGCCTAAGTTCGGAAAGCCAACTTCGCCCCGAACTGATTTTTTGGCATGCCTCACTAAAATTCTAGTCGGGTATGTAACATAGCCATTCATACTAAAATTATAACGACTTGGTAATTTTGTTTCATTGACTAGCATGACATCTACTTTATGTTTAAAAATAAAATCTTTTAATTCATTTGACTTAAACATAAGGCCATTGGCATTCCAATGTCCAATTTTTATTTTACTTTTTATGTTGGATGTATTATCCATCAATAGTTTGCATAAATTCTAGTAATGCTACACATTGCGATGTTTTGTCTTTACAGTCTTTTAGTTTGGAATTTAATGCTTTCAGAGATGAGATCATGAATTTAATATCACATAAACTATTTAAGGTTCTCAACTCACTTAATAGTTCGCTAAGGTCATTTATGTAATTAGGGTTTCCGTTAGTTGTTATTAATTTTTTACTTACTGGTGGGTTTGTGCTACTCGCTGGTGGCTGGATACTCCACGGTGGATGTTGATTTTTTCTAGGTAGGTCCGGGAAGTTGAACTCGTTGTAGGTTGGTGTTGCTGGTAGGGGGCGCTTTGGTTTCTGCATGGCGCGTTGTCGTCGTTGATCGATGCCTTGAAGATAGTCCAGGTATGTTTGGCATTGAGAAAAATTTGCTGGATGCTCTCCATTGCAATTAATGCACTTTGGTGTAGTTTCTTTAGGTTTGTCACAGTCTTTGGTGTGATGTTCGCCGGCACATTTGACACATGCCGGTTTGTTGCTACAGTTGGTTGGTACCATGACCAAAGCGTTGGCAATTATAGCATTGAGTGCCTCGTCTGGGATTTCTGTATTTTTCCCATTTAATGATAACATTACAGATAGTTTTTATTTTAAAAACTGCTGATATATGTGCTTCAGGGTCTAGAGCGACATAGTAAAAAGGATATTCGGTTTCTACGTTTTTGACAGTTTTCATCTGTGATACTTTTTTAGTATCTATGCCTTGGTTCAGTAAACTTTGGGCAATTTGTTCAGGTGATATCGTTGGAAATCCCTTGATGACCAGTTTCTTTTCTTTGTTGCCTTTTTGCGTGTAAGTGTGATGTTGTATCAACCGAGTTGTGAGGTAATCCCTGATAGCTTGGTAGGATGTTTGATCTGTGGTATATATTGTGATGCTTTCTTTGGCATATTTAACTGTTGCAGTGTTAGATATGGCATGAATTTCTTCTACTGTGGTCTTGACTGTTGTTTGTTGCTTTATAGAGGTGTTGATTACTATTGGTACAGTTTTTTGTTGTTTGTCATGTTTATTATTCTCTGTGAAATCCATGTTTTCGAGTATTTCATCTTCCTCATCCTCACTTGAGCTTAGTGGGGAGAATCTATTTGTTGTAGGAATGGATGCTGTTGGCGCTGATTCTTGTGATGTTGCTTGTTTTTTAGATATATTATTTGCTTTTTGGTCAGCTAATCTCTTTTTCTTTTTTAGGTTAATAGCGTTTTCGAGCGCTTGTTCTTGAATCTTGGCTTGTTCAGAGTCTATTTTGTTGATCCTCGCAGTTGCCATTTTTACAAGTTTTCTTGCTTGTCTGATTTTTAATGTTCTAGCTTTAATAGCAGAATTGAAATCGCCCGAGGGCGCAGATCCTATGTTGGACTTAGTGACCTCAAGATTGAGATCGCAATAACTGTTTAGCTTGCTCAAAGATAATAGCTTCAGATTTTTATTTATCTATATATACGTATTATTAGATTTCTACTGCTGGAGCGATGTGAACTCTCACTCTGACTGTTCCACCGCTCGACTGACTCTTTTGGGCCCCAAGCTCCCCACTCCGAGAATTACGACAAGCGACCGCGCCGCCTAGTGCCTGGAAATGAAACTGACGAAGGCCGGTACGCAAGGCTCCTGCACGAGCACGAGTATATCAATTTGCACTGTTACAACCTCAAATAGTAAATTCAAAGGATCAATATAGAAACAATAGGGACAATCTTAGACAATAATCAGGAGTAAATTAGTTAAATTTGCAGCTCAGTGAACTAATTTCGAATTTGAGCTTCAAAATTAATGAATGCATTGATTTTTTTCATTCCGTATAACAATAAAATTTTTATTTTATCAATAACAATGAACTCAGGTATACTAATGAAGTAAGTTGACGAAAATTCAAGTATACAGAAGAAATGACAATTCCCTGTTTAAAACTTGAAGGAAAAATATACCTATAAGATGATTTACAAGCCAATCATTAACGTCATTACAAACAATAGAAAAATAATGTTTTGCAAATAACTATCTGTTTGCATAGATAATTAAGTGTACGAAAAAAGAAAAAGAAAATTTTATAATCAAAAAGAGAAAAAAAATTTTTGAGTTATTTACACACTAAGGTGTGTGTGTATTTAAGCAAATTAGACACTAAGGTATACTCAACCAAATGATTGACTTGGACAATAGAAAATTATGACTGGACCGTCTTAAGTTATTGAAAAATGAAAAACTACATTTAAGCCCGAATTTTAAGAAAAGTCCCATCATAGCTACCCTTCAGACAAAGTCCATGGATATAAATCACTGATAATTTACGATAAGGTGTAATGTGTAAAACCTTTGGTTTTGCAGGGACAACGAGGTTTTGTGCATAAGTTTCACAAATTTTGTAGAGATGAATATTTGCAATATAATATATTGTATTGTTGTATATTATGTTAAATTTTACAGAAACTGATGTATTATATGTACTGTTACAAGAGGAGTCTTGTATATACAATGCTTGTTTAATTGTTACTTTTGCTTGTTTTTGAAAATGGTTATGGAGGGCTTGTTAAATTATAATTATGGAGTCAATGATTTTACTGTAGGAAGTTATACCTGCATAAGATATTAATATTTGTTTTTCATTACTATTTATAGCATGTTGTATATTTTTTACATACCCGTACAAAAATGGATTGATCACTCATTGATCACTGACTGATCAATCATTGATCACAGATTGATCAACAACGCATCGTTAATTGATCAGTCAGTAATCAACCATAGATCAATGAGAGATCACTTAAAGATCAATAACTGATCACTCAGTGATCAATCAGCGACAACCTATAGATCATTCGGAAATCGCATAAAAATCGTCCAGTGTTTAAATGAAAATCACACAGTGGCCATTTATTTATCAAGAAAGGATTGGCCCTTTATAAAGTAATCATTACTGAATATATAACTATAAATATCATAAATAAATAAATACAAGTAATAGCTGTAATAAAAAATATTATCAAGAATACTTCAAATAAATTTTATTTTCAGTATCAAGCAATTTTTATTCCATCACTGGACAATTTTTATAATATCTCCGAATGATCTATAGGTTGTCGCTGATTGATCACTGAGTGATCAGTTATTGATCTTTAAGTGATCTCTTATTGATTTGTGGTTGATTACTGACTGATCAATTATTGAGCAATTAACGATGAGTTGTTGATCAATCCGTGATCGATGATTGATCTGTCAGTGATCAGTCAGTGATCAATCCATTTTTGTACGGGTACCCGTACAAAAATGGATTGATCACTGACTGATCACTGACAGATCAATCATCGATCACGGATTGATCAACAACTCATCGTTAATTGCTCAATAATTGATCAGTCAGTAATCAACCATAGATCAATGAGAGATCACTTAAAGATCAATAACTGATCACTCAGTGATCAATCAGCGACAACCTATAGATCATTCGGAAATCGCATAAAAATCGTCCAGTGTTTAAATGAAAATCACACAGTGGCCATTTAATTATCAAGAAAGAATTGTCCCTTTATAAAGTAATCATTACTGAATATATAACTATAAATATCATAAATAAATAAATACAAGTAATAGCTGTAATAAAAAATATTATCAAGAATACTTCAAATAAATTTTATTTTCAGTATCAAGCAATTTTTATTCCGTCACTGGACAATTTTTATAATATCTCCGAATGATCTATAGGTTGTTGCTGATTGATCACTGGGTGATCTCTAACTGATCTCTGATTGATCACTATCAGATTATTCTCCTCAGAGTGATCAGTTATTGATCTTTAAGTGATCTCTTATTGATCTGTGGTTGATTACTGACTGATCAATTATTGAGCAATTAACGATGAGTTGTTGATCAATCCGTGATCGATGATTGATCTGTCAGTGATCAGTCAGTGATCAATCCATTTTTGTACGGGTACCCGTACAAAAATGGATTGATCAATTATTGATCAATAGTTGATCACTACGAGATCACTAAGTGATCAATGATTGATCTCGAGCTGATCAATCATCGATCACTAACTGATCAATCATGAGTCTACCATAGATCAACGAGAGATCATTCAGAGATCACTAATTGATCACTCTATGGAGACAATACGGAAAAATTTCAGAAAATTGTTTTTGCGACCTTTATTGATAAATTTTCGGTCGTAACATAATAATGGATTGATGATTGGCAATCAAGCTCTCTAGCTAATTACAAATTAAATTCTCCTATGATTAATCATTGAATCACCATCTAGAAATAAAATTAAAATTAAAATTACAAAATAACCTGACTTTGACGTGCTAAAACTAACGCACTATCTCAACCGCTTTGGGTTGGAAGACAAGCAGCAGAATTAGCACGTGATCGGTTAAAAATTATCTAATGATCAATTAATAATCACTCAGTCGTCAATTAATGACCTCTCAGTGATCAGTTAATGATCACTGAGTGATCAGTTAATAATCACTGAATGATCAATTATTTATTACGAGCAGATCGATCATTGATTACTGGCAGGTGTCTTATTAATCACTGAAATCAGCGATTGATCACTTTGAGATCACTCAGCGATCAATTTATTAACGCTGAATGATCAATTGATGAACATTCATTGATTAATGAATGATCACTGAATGATCAATGAATGATCACTGAGTGATCAATTAAAGATCACTGAATGATCCATTCTTGATTAATGAGAGATTTATTATTGATATCATTTAAGAATCAGTTACCAATCATTGAAAGATTATATAGTAATTACTAAGTGATCAATTACACACTCAGAGAAGAAATTCAACTTGATTCAAGAGAAAAAAATCTTGAACCAAGAATACCATTTTTAAGAAAAAAATTTAACTTGATTAAAAAGAAAAAATCTTGAACTAAGAATAATTTCTTGAACTCAAAAATTTTTTTTCTTGTCTTAAGAAAGTAATTTTTCTCAAAATGCTATTTTTGATTCAGGATAATTTTTTTATCAGTGAACATATTTATATAGTCATAATAAACACAAACAGTAGTCGTCATTAAATAATGTTTTTTTTTATTTTTTTTTTACAATTTTTTACGATTTTTTCTCTTGAATCAAGTTGAATTTCTTCTCAGTAAATATTTATTAATGATCATTGATCAATGAGTGTTCATCAATTGATCATTCAGCGTTAATAAATTGATCGCTGAGTGATCTCAAAGTGATCAATCGCTGATTTCAGTGATTAATAAGACACCTGCCAGTAATCAATGATCGATCAGCTCGTAATAAATAATTGATCATTCAGTGATTATTAACTGATCACTCAGTGATCATTAACTGATCACTCAGTGATCATTAACTGATCACTCAGTGATCATTAACTGATCACTCAGTGATCATTAACTGATCACTGAGAGGTCATTAATTGATGACTGAGTGATTATTAATTGATCATTAGATAATTTTTAACCGATCACGTGATAATTCTGCTGCTTGTCTTCCAACCCAAAGCGGTTGAGATAGTGCGTTAGTTTTAGCATGTCAAAGTCAGGTTATTTTGTAATTTTAATTTTAATTTTATTTCTAGATGGTGATTTAATGATTAATCATAGTAGAATTTAATTTGTAATTAGCTAGAGAGCTTGATTGCCAATCATCAATCCATTATTATGTTACGACCGAAAATTTATCAATAAAGGTCGCAAAAACAATTTTCTGAAATTTTTCCGTATTGTCTCCATAGAGTGATCTCTGAATGATCTCTCGTTGATCTATGGTAGACTCATGATTGATCAGTTAGTGATCAATGATTGATCAGCTCGAGATCAATCATTGATCACTTAGTGATCTCGTAGTGATCAATTATTGATCAATAATTGATCAATCCATTTTTGTACGGGTAGTTAAAAATTTGAATCAGAAAAAATATTTTCTATATAAATTTGCACATAAAAGTATTGAAATTGTTAATAAGACGTAGAAAATATGAAAAATTGTTGGTTCAATTGCAAAATTTTTTAATTTTAGTGCTCCCATGATTTTCATTTATTTTCGCCTTAGTACTTTCTCTTGTATCAGTTTTTAATTTGCTCATAATTTTAATTTTAATTTTGACTTTTTTTTACTTAATTAATTTCTTTATTTAAATTTTAAGAACTGAAGCTTGTATATTTTAAGCATACAGCTCCCACTTTTTTTTTAACTTCCCGCTAAGAAAATTGAAAATTTTCAAAAGTTAGGAAGTTATTGGTTTTACCCAGTTTTTCGAAAATCGAGTTTCTAACGA